GATATCGAAGTCAAGAACAGAGAAAGAGCACATTAACGATTTACAAAAATTGTTTAATCGTTTGAGGAAATATAAACTTCGCTTGAATCCGGCTAAATGTACCTTTGGTGTAAAGTCTGGAAAATTATTGGGATTTGTGGTGAGTGAAAAGGGCATAGAGGTTGATCGTGATAAAGTGCAAGCAATTGTTGATATGCCAGCCCCTAGTACAGAAAAAGAGGTTCGTGGTTTCTTAGGAAGATTAAATTACATTGCTAGATTTATATCTCAGTTGACCGCTACCTGTAGTCCCATCTTCAAGTTGTTACGAAAGAATCAAACAGTGCAATGGAATGAGGATTGTCAAAAGGCCTTTGAGGAAATCAAGCAGTACCTGCAAAAACCTCCTATCTTGGTGCCCCCGGTGCAAGGGAGACCTCTTATGTTGTACTTAACAGTGCTTGATGAGTCTATGGGGTGTATGTTAGGGCAGCATGATGAGTTCGGTAAGAAAGAACACGCCATCTACTATTTGAGCAAGAAATTCACAGATTGTGAAATGATATATTCTTTATTGGAGCGAACATGTTGTGCTTTGGCATGGGCCACTCGTAGACTGAGACAATACATGTTGTGTCACACTACCTGGCTAGTTTCCAAAATGGATCCAATCAAATATGTCTTTGAGAAACCTGCCCTCACAGGTCGAATTGCTCGATGGCAAATGTTACTGTTAGAATATGATATTGTTTATGTAACACAAAAGGCTATTAAAGGTAGCATTATAGCAGAGCTCTTGGCCCATAATCCCATAAAACATTATCAATCAATGCAGCATGAATTCCCAGACGATAACATAGTGTCATTGTTTGAAGAAAGAGGAACAGTAAACGAAGAAAAATGGACTTTGTGGTTCGATGGAGCATCTAATGCATTAGGACACGGAATTGGCGCAGTATTGATTTCTCCTGAAAATCAAATTATCCCGTTTACTGCAAGGCTAGATTTTGATTGTACAAATAACATGGCGGAATACGAAGCATGTGCGATGGGGGTACTAGCAGCCTCTTGAATTCAAGGTCAAGGTATTGGAAGTCTTTGGAGATTCAGACCTTAGTCATCCACCGGATTAAAGGAGAATGGGAAACTCGAGATTCAAAGTTAATCCCATATCACTCCTATATTAAGGGATTGTTGGAATATTTTAATGAAGTAACCTTTCATCATATCCCTCGTGAGGAAAATCAGTTAGCGGATGCTTTAGCTACTTTATCTTCAATGTTCAAAATAAGCCAAGAAGAGGATATGCCCCTGATAAAAATACATCATCAAGAGCATCCAGCATATTGTCAAACCATACAGGAAGAGTCAGATGGAAAACCATGGTTCTATGACATCAAAAATTATTTGAAAGATAGAAAATATCCTCCCAATACTTCAGAAAATGACAAGAAAACATTAAGGAAGTTGGCAATGAGATTCTTTTTGAATGGTGATGTGTTATATAAAAGAAATCATGACATGATGTTGCTTAGATGTGTTGACATAATCGAAGCTAAGAAAATAATGGAAGAAGTTCATGAGGGTTCATTTGGAACACATGCAAATGGACATGCAATGGCAAAGAAAATTCTAAGAGCTGGCTATTATTGGTCAACCATGGAAAGTGATTGTTGTAACTATGTAAGAAAATGTCACAAATGTCAAACATATGCTGATAATATCCATGCACCAGCATCATCTTTAAATGTTTTGGCTGCACCGTGGCCATTTGCAATGTGGGGTATGGACGTAATCGGGTCAATCAAACCTAAAGCATCAAATGGAAATCGTTTCATCTTAGTAGCAATCGATTACTTCACCAAATGGGTCGAAGCAACATCATATGCTAGTGTGACAAGAAATATAGTGATTAAGTTCATCAAGAAAGACTTAATTTGTCGCTACGGTTTGCCAAACAAGATCATTACGGACAATGGGACTAATTTGAATAACAAAATGATGAAAGAATTGTGTGATAATTTTAAGATTCAACATCATAATTCATCACCATATCGCCCAAAGATGAATGGGGCAGTAGAAGCAGCGAATAAAAACATAAAGAAGATTGTCCAAAAGATGGTAGTCACATACAGGGATTGGCATGAAATGTTACCCTTTGCACTAGACGGATATCGCACCTCTGTTCGAACTTCTACAGGGACAACTCCATATTCTTTGGTGTATGGGATGGAGGCAGTGCTTCCAGTTGAGGTAGAAATTCCCTCTTTAAGGGTGTTGGCTGAAACAAAACTTGAAGAGGTTGAATGGATCCAGACTCGTATCGACCAATTGAATCTTATTGAAGAAAAAAGGTTGATCGCCCTATGTCATGGACAATTGTATCAAAAAAGGTTAAAAAGATCTTATGATAAAAAGGTCCACCTTCGACAATTTCATGAAGGAGATTTGGTTCTTAAAAAGATCTTACCAACTCAAAAAGATCAAAGAGGAAAGTGGACGCCAAATTACGAAGGACCATATGTGGTAAAGAAAGCTTTTTCGAAAGGTGCTCTTATCATTTCAAACATGGATGGTAAAGATTTATCACTTCCAATCAATTCTGACGCAGTTAAGAAATACTATGCATAAAAAAAAAAGGGTTCGCTAGGCTGAAAATCTGGAAAGACGGTCTAGGCAAAATTGAACAACCCGATAAGCTAAAAACTCAAAAGGAGCAGTTTAGGCAAAATAGGGGCAAATAAAATTACTTGACTGAGAACCTGAAAAGACGGTCTATGTAAAAGGCAGAGCGACCTACAATACCGAAAGTTCAAAAAGCGGAGGTATACACAAAGTTACTCAACAGATGAAACCACAATTTGTCATATGTTTGCAAAGGTTGACGGATGAGTTCTTTAAAATTGTAAACATGAGGATTAACATTGTTAAAAAAAAAAAAAAAACGCTCAAATTGTCATGTATTCATTAAACAAAATTGTTCCTGTATGTACGCTTTCCATTCCTACCAATAAAAAGTTGCCTCAACCACCACCTCTTTGTGTCATTTCATCATGAATATACCAATAAAGGTACATATCATAATGTTAAAAATGCATTATAATAAAAATGAAGTGATGTGAGAAAAGACGACCAGTTATTCAGAATATTAAAGTATAACCATGATCCGATTGAAGAAGATGAACTCAATACATTTCAAAGACTGATTCCCTTCATGAATCTTGACACATTCGAAATCTTAAGGGGACAAAGCGTAGGAAAATGTGCGTAACAAAATAATAATAAATAAAAATATATATATATATATATATATATATATAAATAATAATGTCAAAGAATAATAATAATAATAATAAAACAAAATTATTATTTAAAAGTACATGCACCCATCATGAATTTGCATATCATATATCACACATTAGGCATTACATATCATACTTTATTTATGAATCACATGTCATGCACTTTATTTATAATAGCATGCACTTTATTTGTGAATTAAGTATCATGCATTACTTGTTTAAGTTAAGAATAAATAATTATTTAACCTTTGGTCCATTCAATATACATTTATATAGATTACCGGATCCTCTTTGTACCAATAGCTGGAGGGTGCGGAAAATATTTATGTTAACTTCTCACGTTCCTTACAAGGTTTCCCACGCCTCTTATAAGGTTTAAATTTTCAACACTTCCAATCATAGCTTTGTATTTGGTCCCCGAGCCCTAGGTCTACAAACTCACTTCTAAATTTTCAATCGCCATATTTCGGTGGCAATATTGGGCCCCTGAGTCCACTTCTAAGTTTTTAGCTTTTTCAAATCACAATTTTATATTCGCAATATTGGATCCCCGAGTCCATCATCAATTTTTCAACTTTTCAAATCATAATCCCCGAGTCTACTTCCAAGTTTCAACTTTTCAAATCATAATTTTATTTATATTTACATATTTCAATTGCAATATTGGATCTCCGAGTCCATTCTCAAATTTTCAACTTTTCAAATCACAAACATATTTGCAATATTTTGGTGTTCACATCTTTAATTATGTTTTATTATGATAACATAAATTCACATTCAAATTATCCAATAAAACTTAATTAAAGAGGGGCAACTGTAAACACCAAACAAATAATAAAAAATAATAATAATAAAAAAGTCACTAGCTACCTTAAGCCACTAACTACCACCAAACAGATCGACCACCCTCAACCACCCTCAACCACCCTCAGCCACCCTAAGCCACCCTAAGCCACCCTAAGCCACTCTAAGCCACTCTAAGCCACTCTAAGTCTCCCTCAGCTCCAACTCCAGCAAGCTTGTATAAATTAAGAAGGAGATTTCAAAAAAGGAGAAGGAAAAAAAAGAAATCATCATTATCATGCACCCACTATCACCTCACCATCAGAAAACCCTCGGTTAATATAGTCATAACAATATCTTATTCAACCACAACGATCAACGAGCAACGAGGCAACGAGACAAAGGCAACAGAGGTAACAGATTACCAATTGTAATAATATCTTGTATCCTGTTAACTGTTAATTGTGTGTATATTTTATAACAATTAATAAAAATTATAAAAATTAAATAAAAAAAAAACTTACTTACTAACTCACCGGCGGCCGACCACCACAGTAAACCCACCCTACTACCAACGCCCACCAATAAACCCATCCACACGCACCCTTGTTTTTCTTCTCACGGTTTCCAACCTCACTCCCCCTCCAACAGCCTCCATTTCCATGCCCAAAACCACCGCGTGCCCACTGCAAGAGCTACCCCTCCCCCCGCATCTTCTTCCTCATCTCCCAATCACCATTTTCATCTTCTTCAACTAACCCACACCCATCACCGTACCACCCCCATCGCAGCCCACACCCATCATCAACTTGAATCCACTCACCGTGCGGTTAACCACCACAGGCTTTAGCCGCGCCATTAACCTCCGTCGTCGTCACCTCTAGCCACCATCGCAAGCCATCCTCCAACTCAAGCTGTCGTGCACCACTGAAACCCCTAGATCCGTGCAGCGCAACCCCCCGTCCACCTTCTTCCCACCACGCTCACTGAGCGCGCCTCACCCAGCAACCCTAGCCCCTCTGCAAATCCTGGCTCCTGCGACTCCTATTAGGTTTAGGTTAAAAGCAAAATGGGCAGAGACACATAAGTGGGCTCAAAATATGCGTGGCCCAAACTGGAAGAGGTGAAAATAACATAAAAACGTTTCAAATAGCAATATGCAAATTTTTCATGGGTTATTGGGCTTAATATTTTTTTTTTTGAACAACATAATACAATAAATTATAAAAAAAACAAAAAGAATTAGTATTATTATTATCTTATTCTTATTATTATTATTATTATTATTATTATTATTATTATTATTATTATTATTATTTAAAATGTTAAATTTTTAGTACAATAAATTTCAAAACGGTTTAATTATGGTAATAATTGTTTAGAACACATTTAAAACTAATCATTACTTAAAATTAAAAAAATTAATTAATCACTTTGGATGTACTTTCAATTTGATTATCATGAATTTATAATAATCGCTTCGAATGTACTTTTGATTTTATTATAATAAAAAACTGATTTTTGAAGTATCTTAAATCCCAGTAGAGAAATGATAAATTTAATAATTAAAAATATTTGAATATTAATAATTACTTTGGATGTACTTCCAATTTAATTATCACTTAAATTAAAAAAAAGAGTAATAATCACTTTAGATGCACTTCTAATTTGTTTATTTCATAATTATCCAAAGTATACTTTTAATTTGTCAACATTAATAAATAAATATAAATAAAGTACTCACAAATACATTTTTTATAAGAAAGAACTACGTTACTATCGATTCTCCATTGTACCTGGGGATACGTAGGAGCAGGGAGATGATCTCTGTCGAGCTAATAATATAAAAATATATAATTTTTTATTTAGTAGCAATATCTAATCAATATATAAATTTGAGGGATAAAATAGATAATTTTAAGATACTTAAATTTTTACATCTAATTAAAGGTAACTGTTTTTTTTAGAACGGATGTTGTAAGGTGTTAATACCTTCCTTACACATAATCGACTCTCGAACCCAATCTTTATTTCGTAGATTCTTTTTTTTTCTTTTTTTCTTTTTGAAGGTTTTTTCCGATATTTTTCCTTAAAATAAATATTGGTGGCGACTCCATTGTTTTTCTTTCATTTAGAAACCTAATCTTGTCGCATCAGTCACGATTCCGATAGCGACACTTTGAAAGCCCATTTTACCAATAAAAGTGTAGCAAAAGTTTTTATTAATAATGTGGCAAAGCTCCATGGTTTTCCGAGAATTATTGTATCTGACAAAGATAGAGTCTTTATCAGTTCATTTTGGAAGCACTTATTTAAAGCTCAAGGCACAACTTTGGCAATGAGCTCTACATATCATGCCCAAAGTGACGAACAAATTGAGGTACTTAACAAGACATTGGAAATGTATTTGAGGTGTTATGTGTTTGATAATCCCAAGTTGTGGTACTCTATGCTTCCTTGGGAACAATACTGGTACAACTCTTCTTACCACCACAACATAAGAATAAGCCCCTTTAAAGCGGTATTTGGTAGGGAACCACACCTTCGGTCATTCCTTATGAAGTCAATTCCACAGATCTTCTTGCCATTAGAGAGTCTTTAACCACTAGAGACAAAGTGTTGCAACAACTCAAGAGCAACTTGATGAACGCTCAAAATTATATGACAGTACAGACAAATAAGAAAAGGAGAGAATTCCAATTGTAAATTGGTGATTTGGCATTAGTGAAACTGCATCCATATAGACAACATTTAGTGGCTCTTAGAAAGAATAAAAAATTAGGCATGAGGTTTTTTGGACCAATTGAAGTATTGGAGAAGATAGGTCCAGTGGCTTACAAGTTAAAGCTTCCTGATACAACTTAGATTCACCCTATTTTCCACATTTCATTGCTCAAAAAGTTTATGGGAACACACTCCAACCAATACTTACCCCCCCTACCTTTGACTACTACTGAGTTGGACCTCTCTTGAGTCCAATAACAGTGTTGGATAAAAGAATTATAAACCGCAATTCCACTGAAATACAACAGGTGTTGGTACAGTGGCAATCTACGTAACCTAAGGAAGTTACTTGGGAAGATCTTGATGAATTTCAACAAGTTTATCCTCAATTCAACCTTGAGGACAAGGTTGTTGTTAATGGGAAGGATATTGTAACAAGCAGAATGGGCGCAGAGAATGCAGTGGAACTAATGGGGCACGTGGACCAGGATCAGCAAAAGAAAGACACAAGAAAAAGCACAAGGTCACGTATAGAGAGTGCTTTTAAGGAATTTTGATCTTGGATAGAAATAAGTTTTTGGTATAATCTTCTTTCTGCGGTTTGTTTTCTCTCTACATAATATTCCATAATTCTCTCTCATTCTCAATTTTGTTACCTGACTCCACCCTTTCATTGTTTCAGGTGAAACCTTCGTGCATTAACAGAAATCCCCTATAATTATTGATTCTGTTGCGTTTTATTTTCTTTTTTTTTAAATCAAAATACAAACTATTGTTATTTTGACCATTCTGGAATCAATATCATACACTGTTCCACACTATTTTTATTGGTTGCATTAAGAGTTTAATTAAATTGTTTCATAAAACCTTCCTAAATATGTAAAGGTAGGCTACCACATCTTTTTACCTATATGACAATAGTTTTTTTTTTCCTTGATGTTGATAATCAAACTAACTATAATTATTTATAAAGCATACTAAGATTTTCTCCGTACGGGTGACTCTTATAAGCCACAATGGTGACTCTTATGCCACATATGGGTACCTGATTGAGAACTCTTTCTTTTTCTCAAATTTTAAAGCATATATAAAAACAAAGACAAAGTAATTTTAGGGTGATCTACCAATAGATCACACACTCTCTCAATAATTTTGATTTCAAAATGATCTAATTAAACTACAATTATCATCTAAATATTAATCGTCATCTAACTATTTGATAAAAATCAATTGAGTCTATTAGAGATTATAAACATCTGCATCACTTGTATAACTCATATAAAAAATATTATATTCAATATATATTTTATTTTATTTTTGTTTACTGTCAATAAAATCACAATTTTTCTTTTTTTTTTCTAAAATAAAATATCTTTGTCATAATATGTTCTCAATAGTTTTTTCTTCCGAATTAATAAATACATGAGGCAACAAAAAACATGAAGATAGTTTTAAAATAAAAATATTTTTTTTATAATGTAAAATTCGTTTTATATTGTTTTAGGATTTAATCTCAGTTGGGCGTGTGAGGAGTTTTTGTTGAGTTAAGTTAACACCAACAACATGAGTTTCTTAATCATGATAAATAATGACAACAACATAACGGTGATTTTATATGTTTTCCTGTTACTCAATCAGAACATTTAACCGTCTATTCCTAGAATGGCTAATTTATTTCCCGGTGAACGCATGAAACAAGTAGACGCCATATTTACGAAATCACCCTTGAAGCGTTGACCTGGTGGCTTCATCATATAACATGATACATTACAGGCTCCAACTTAGACACTGGTCAATGCACATTTCACACGCCCAAGTCCAAGGTGGGCCATGGGCTTTAGATCCAGGGCCCACTCTTTCTCTTCTATGTTGCCCGTAAACTTTGCGGCTTACCAAACTTTGTCTTTTTTCTACCATCTTTGGTTGTTTCCCAGTAGCATCTCCGACCACTAAAGCGAAAATCCATGTAATAAATAACACCATAACTTCCTACGAATTTACCTGCGATTGAGTTCCAATGTTCAAAACAGCTTTTTTGGGGTGTCTCCATTCAGGGCAATAACTCTGGCTGACCAGGCCTAACTAATTCTAGAATGTTACTTTTGGGGTGCCAAAGCTGTTTCATATTTTTTGAATTTTTCAAAAGGAAGGACGGTGCTAATTAATTAATGCAACTTAATCATTCACTTCATCAATTTCCTATAAGCATTGACATGTTTATGTTTCTTTTACCGAAAATTCAAACAATTATTCACCCTATGTGAACCATTTTAAGGTTTTTCATTTGAAACTAAAATATTGAAAAGAAACTACGTGAAACATGCAAGCACGTTACTCTTCTTATATAAATTCGTATATAGAGTTTATTTATTGCGAGAAATAAACTGAAAAATTTGTGTGAAACTTTTTGTAATTTTAATTAATATCAATCAAATTTAACTGCTAGATTAAAATATATAAATAAAAAACTAAGATTGAAAATACTCTTGTATTGTGACAAATGTAAAAATGAATTAAACGTGAAAACTAGGGTTTGAACAATTGTGTCGAGAGCATAGCGGTTACTTCTGGGAAATTTGGGAAGTGAAAACTAGGGAAAAGAATAATGAGATGAGCACGTGATTGAGTATTTTAATTTTATAAATAAGATAGTTGTTAGAAACATTTTATTTTAAAATTAAATCAATTAAAACAAAGAGGAACTATTTAAAAGTTTTTTTATATGATTTATTTTAATTATAAATTGTATCGTCCTAGGATTGAGTGATTCGTCCTAGGATTGAGTAATTCATGCTGGAGATGTTTAGTCAATAAATAAAGAAGGCCACGTTCGATAAAAAACAAAAATCAAGTAACGATGTCGTACTTGTATTATCTCAAAATACATTGGACAGGACTTATATAAAACACTGTCAGTCACTAAGATGCGAAATTTTATCTCTTAATCTGTGTTATATAAATATTAGTGAGCAATAATTATTTAGTCCAAATTAATGATTTAATATTAAAACGGAGTGTTTATCAGTTATTAAGTAAAATTTAATATTATATACAAAACTTATAAAAAAAAAAAACCTGGATCACTCTTCTCACTATATATGAGCAATAAATACAAAACCTTAAACAAAAACCTAGTAGGTTGTAACCTGGAAACTGTTTGTACTCAACGTTGAGGTTGCTGAGATGCATGTATCAGGATAAGAAATAATCGTTTCCAAAGATCAATAATGATGGGCGCATAAACAATTACTTAAAAAGGAAAGATAATGGAAGAAACTTTTAATTTTGATTCAATCAATTCTCTTATTCGATTGCATGGTAACAAAGTTTCTCTAAATGATTAGTTGTTTAATTTAATTAAATTTATATTTAATTATATTATGAATCATTTGAACGAATTGGTTTTATATCAATCACTTATATTTAAAATATAATATATTTCAATTAAGAATGATTCATACATAATTTTAATTTTTAATATAATTTGAAATATTTAAAATAGAATACATAAATAATAAAAATATTAGGAAAATAAGTTGTAAAAAAATAAAATGTACAAAAAAATAAATAAAAATAAATTAAATAAGAAAATAAATTAAAATAACAATCTAAATTATAAACAACTTTATTTAAAATACGTTAAAGTAAAACTATCTAAATAAATTAAAGTAAATTACACTCAAATAAAATAAACTAAATAAATATCTATAAATAGTTATTTTATTATATATTAATGTATATACATTATAATAAGATAATAAATATTATTTTCTCTCGAGATTCCATCTTTTTCAATTTATACTATAAGTTTTGAGGTCTTCTATTCTTCAACTTTTGTTATTCAACTGATCATATCTATCACATTTTATTCCTAATATATTTCTCAACATTTTTCAATGAACTTTATTATGTTGAACACTTCCTACTTATTTTTAATTCATTTAATCTAACAAATAATGTTAAGTTTTATTTTTTCTTACCATTCTTTCTAATTAATATTGATTTCAATTTCTCAATATCTCTCATTATCAATATAATCTTCAAATAATTCTTCTTATTTCACTAATTTTTTTCTGATTTTGTTAGTAGGAAATTGTTAAAAGAATCGAAAAACGAAGGAAAGAAAAATCGAAGATCATATGATTGGTTAAAAACTGATGAAGTGAAAAGATAGTTGGAAAACATTCGATGACCATGTAACAGTATGGACACATAAATCGAGAATTAGAGCCAGAAAATCGAAGGAGGAATATTTAATGTCTATTTGTTGAAGAAAATCGAGAAATTAAAGTCAAAAGTAATGTTAAGAAACAAAGTGAAAACAGAAGCAATTCAAAATTCTCGAGATTTGGAATCGAAATCGAGGGAAAGACTAACCTACATGACTATCGGAATTTTGGTTAAGTTATAAAGAGAGGAACAGTTGACGTGCACATAGAACATGATAAGCGGTGGCAGAAGTCGAAGGTCAAGGGAGCAGTTACCTCATGCATAAGAACGTGAATGCAGTTTTTTAACCGTGGAGCTAGAAGTAAAACTGCAAAAGACGTGCACGTAGGACGTGGTAGCAGTTTTCGTTAACTGCTCCTAAGAGATTACTTGAAGGATGCTCTATAAATAGAGCAAAAATGAAGGAGAAGGGGGAATTGGCAGAGACAACAGAAGCGTTAGTAAAAAGTTTACCGGAGAACGACAAAATCATGAAGTTTCTGGCGATCTGGATTTCCATTTTCATTGATTGTCTTTACCGTTTTTTGTACTTTCCCTGGTAATTCATGTTCATGCAATTTATTTTGATACAGTTTACGTTTAAGCAACTTTAAGTTTCTGCACGTTTAATTCTATGTTATTTTACTTTTATGCAAAGTTGAGATTCTGCATTTAAGTTCCTCGCTATTTACACTTATGCAATTTCGATTTCCTGTTATTCTCTTTCTTGCAATTTCGATTTCCTGTTATCTACTTTTCTGCAAAGTTCGATTTTCTGCTTATTTACAGTTCTGCAATTTTCGATTCCTTGTCATTTACACTTTACGCAAATTTTGAGGTTTCCGCATTTATGTTTCTCTGCAATTTAATATTTTGCACCGCTTTTCGATCCAACAATATTATTGCTTTCTTTACTTCGCGTTACCTAATAAAAAATACCAAAAATAGTACATGCGATTTGCACTTTAAATAGTGTTGTTTGCATTCCCGAGATTCTTGATTCTCATGCACTTTTCGATTGAAAACTAGTTGCTAGCCTAAGTAAAAAGAATCTACATGGTCAAGATTTGATTAGGACTCAACTCCCCATAAATCAAAATCAGTCAAATTTTCACCAGAAACAAATTGGCGCGCCAGGTAGGGGGTAACTTGTGTCGAAAAACACAAAATTGGTTAGTTCGAAAGTGTATGAGATTAAGGAGTGGGCGAGTGATAAGAATGAGTCATCCACCAAATAATCAGAGTAACAGTGAGGTTCTAAATGGTTCACATCCACCAAACACTGGGGGGCAAGATCATAATGGGAATATGCCTGTAATATCAACAACTGCAAGTATGTCGATACCTGTGAGTAATGAACAAAGTTCAAGTACATTAGCAAACACTCAAGTAGGGTCTAGTGTTGCGATATCGAACAATATGCAAATTATGGGAAACCCTATAACAACATATGCAGGGCCGTATATGAGCGTAAGGCCGCCTGGTTTTTCGCTTAATAATATGAATGGGGCTGGTACCTCTTCAATACAACGAAGTTCGAGATTTAACTTAGGAATGCCTCAAAATTTAGGTACATTTCAAACTTTAGGTATGCCACAAAACTTTGGAGTATCTCCAAATTTAGGGGCATCTCAAAATTTAGTAACCCCCCAGAATTCAGGGAGTGTGCAGAATTTAGGTACACAACAGACACCTCCAAATCTAAATCACAGAACAAATCTGGATCATGGGAGATATACATTCGATAGAGATTATCATCGATCCAATCTTGAGACTATCGAAAACGCTAGTACTGGAATCTCCAGTAACTCATTAGGAGTACTTAGACAACAAATGGATGAAAGCAATTTCGAGATGGTTAACATGTTATCACAACAGTTGACTACAGTATTGAATCCATTAGTGCAAAATACTACCACTAGTTTCGAAATACTAGCAGACCAAATGTCACGTATCGGGGATGCATTGGCTATACCTCGACAAACAAGAGTGGAAAATCATGCCAATCAGAACCTTAACCAGAATGCTAATATCAATCCCCCTTATTTATTAAGGAGAAATCGAAACAATGATCAACATCAGCATATGGGGAATGAATATCAACAGGTGAGGAATGATATTTACGGAAATTTGAATGAAGGATTTCAAAATGTGTATAATAACATGCAGTATAATCACATGCTAGGACAAAGGATGAATCCCCAAGGAGTGGAATTAAGGCCACCCAATCAACCATATTTTGTTTCTCATTTTCCAAATACGATTCTCGAGACAGAGTTACCTCGAGGATACAAAATACCTAAATTCACCAAGTTTGCTGGAGAAATTGGTGAGTCCACTATCGAACATGTGGCGCGATATCAGATCGAATGTGGGGACCTAGCGATGAATGAAGAATTAAAAATGAAATATTTCTCTAGTTCATTAACTAAGAATGCTTTCACTTGGTTTACTTCATTGCCACCCAATTCGATATATAATTGGTTGCAATTGGAAAGAATTTTTCATGAGCAATTCTTTAGGGGGGAAACTCAAGTAAGTCTCATCGACTTAATGAACATAAAGAGATATAATCATGAAAGCATAGATGATTATTTGAATAGATTTAGACAAATGAAGTCAAGATGCTTTACTCAAATTCCTGAATATGAATTAGTCAGAATGGCCTCCGCAGGCTTAGAATTCTCGATTAGGAAAAAGTTAACTAATTTACCATTGAATGACATGACTCAACTAGCCGATAAAGTGAGAAGAGTGGAACAAATCGAATATGAAAAACAAAGGTATAAGAAATTCGAGAAACCCATGAAGAAAGAAAGAGTAGCATATATAAATGATGTGTATGAGACAGATCCCAAGACAGAAACTGATATTGAAGAAATTATCGATGAGAAAGTAAATATAGCAGAGCTCAAAGTAGGAGCACCATATATCTGTAAATTGCTACAGAAAAATGAAGTAAAAGACAAAATGACAAATCGAACGTATACTTTCGATGTAACAAAGGCAGATAAAATCTTCGATATTTTATTAAAAGACAAACAGATTAAGTTGAGTGATGATCATAAACTGCCTTCTGCAGAACAAAGGAATGGTCGAAAATATTGCAAATTTCATAATATTTATGGACATTGGACTAATAATTGCATACATTTCAGGAACACGATCCAAGATGCAATCGACCAAGGAAGACTGAAGTTTGAGGAGATGTCAATGAAAGTGGATACGAGTCCATTCGAGGTTCAAGTAGGGTATATCGAATCCCAAACGGGCGTGACTGAAGATGTCCGATTGGCAAATTTGACCTTTGTAGGCATGGTTAATGTTACTAAAGACATTGACCCCAGGCATGTCAGAATGACGTATCTGAAGAAGACATGGAATTCGACCTGAGTGAGTTCGAGAAAGAATTCGAGAGAGAGATCTATCCTCGATCAGGAGATTCTCTCATCGAGTTTTTAAACAGAAAGAAAGAAAAAAATGAGGATGTGTCGTTATGTCCACGATGCAGTGCGGTGTTCGACAAGTCAGCCGCTAAAGCTTTCAGAGCATAACAGATAAAGAAAATTGAGAATCAAAATAAAAGGGACAATAACAAAGTAGATCAATCAGCCCAAGCAACGATAGAGGAAAGTCAATAGAAATCTGTCGATTCTGGGGCTAGTAGGAATCAGAGACAGTGGGTTAGGAAAGAAATATATCCTTCTCGAGGAGGAAGGGGCAGATTTCAAGGTAATGATGTCTTCGAGAGACTTTCATATGATGAAGGATCGAATACTAGATTCCCAACATTCCAAAGGAGATTTCGAGGAAGGCCCTGGAGAAGAGGAGGAAGGATCCCGTACTGGAATAATTACAGGAACTTTGAAGAGAGTAATGTACC